TAGAGTGGGGTGGGGTGAGGGCAGGGGTAGAGTGGGGTGGGGGCGGGTGGAAGCGGAGGGAGGGAGAGAATCATTTTTTCTACGAGATAGGTTTCTATTTATCGCAGTCGAGTAAAACGATTCGTATTTTTTCACGGGTTTAACCTCGAAATCGCCCTACGCGCCTTGACGATCGGACTCGTTGACCCCTCAAGGTCGCGTCTTACGATCTCGTCTCTCCGCGCAGACGGACGCCCGTCGCCGGCGGCGACTGGCTCGTCACGGACATGCGGCGCGGGGCGACGATCTTCGAGGCGGAGCCGTCGGCGCAGGAAGCCGTAGACACCGGCGTTGCGAGGGACGGCTCCAACCTGAGCGGCGTCAGCGCCAAGTGCTACTGGGACGACATCGACTACCCGTCGTCCGGCTCGTCGAGCCCGCTCTCCTCCGCCGACGCCAGGGGGCGCCACTCGCCGCCGTCGCCGCGGCTGTCGCGGCGCGACGAGGAGGCGATACGCTCGGCGCTGCGGCGCGGGCTCGACGAGATGCCGTCGCCCGCGGCGACGGAGGCGGCGGCGGCGGCGGCGGCGCGCGAGCCCGTCGCCGACGGTTACCCGCTCGAGCTGCAGCAGACGAAGTCGTTGGAGGGGGTTCACGTGAAGTTCAACCACGAGGCGGGAGCGCTGCTGCCGCTCGCGCTGCGCGGCCGCCTGCGCCACGGCCGGCACTTCACGTTCAAGAACGTGCTCGGCGACATCGCGATCACGCTCGTCGCCGAGGGCGTCGAGGGCGCGTTCGTCGACGCCGGCGCCCCCTACGCGGCGCACGGACCGTGGCTGCAGGTGCTCGTGCCGGCCGAGTTCGTCGAGGCGATGCTTCGGGAGCTGGACGCCGTGCCGCGGCTCGACCCCGCAGAACTGCCGAAGATGTATCGCTGGCCAGAGCGCCACTTTGCGCTGACGATCCTGCCCGAACAGATATAAGGGGGCGCCGCCGGGGTCCGGGCCGAGCTGATGTAAGGGGGGCGCCGCGCTCACAATCGCCAGGGACAAATGGAGACAGGGCAATGATGAGATGATGCATGACAGGATAAGACGAGACGAAATGAGACAAGATGAGACAGAGACGAGACAAATAGAGACAGAGGAACGACGAGGTGGGGTAGGACGAAATGATGCGCAAACAGGATGAGACGAGACGGGACGGGGCAAGGCAGGACGCAATAATACGAGACATGGCGCAAGTTTTTCTATCGGTTTGTAATTTGCGACGCTTGGCAACGCATTTCAAGCGGCATTGTATGCGAAACGAATGCTGTCCAACTGCCACCCTAAGCACTGCGAGTGTATATGCTTTTCTGTGAAATCACGTTAAATTCATATTAGGTGCGCACGAATAGACATATTCTCTATTCATGTACTCCTCGTCTTATCGTAAACAAAATTACTAATAATAAATGTATCTAATGTACATTGTAGAAAAGCACGAAAAATTACTTTACTATTACTGCATAATTGTGAGTGCTTATTGCACAAATCTAGCTAATACCCAGGTTGATTATAATCCAATTAAAAATCTGTGCCCTCGTCAATTTTCTAAACCAATTGGCAGTTTTTATTCGAGCAGTGTGTGTGATCTCAGTGATCTGGTCGGTAACCATGTAATTCGTTTCGCGTGTTATCGTTGCTCGTGAAAACATTTGGTCCTTGACCTCTTGACTGAGACCTAAATGCTGACCTATCTCATCAATCCATGCCTGCGATTAGTTCAGTTGTAATATAATGTGTGGTTTGGGTTAATTGCTGCTGCCGTTACACTAGGAGGAGCAAAGGTTATGCAGTCATTGAGTACTTTCGTTGACAAAGTTGGTGCGTTGTGACCTAGAGGTTAAGAACTTGTGTCTTATGTCACTGTAAATGCTGACCTATCTCATCAATCCATGCCTGCGATTAGTTCAGTTGTAATATAATGTTTGGTTTGGTTTAATTGCTGTTGCCGTTACACCAAGAGGAGCAAAGGTTATGCAGTCATTGAGTACTTTCGTTGACAAAGTTGGTGCGTTGTGACCTAGAGGTTAAGAACTTGTGTCTTATGTCGCACAAGTGCGTAAGTTCGTATCGTATATAACCAGAAGATGGCAGCACGAATCAATACTCGGAAGTATAGATCACGGAGTGGTCGGAATTCGATGAGATTTTTATTACCACGGGTGTTTTCTAGATGCATTTTTTTTACGCGACTGTCTCCTCCGCGGGAAAATGTTGGTAGGATGTGTGTGCGAGATTTTTTATAGCTCGCTGAAACAGATAAAGCGGTTGTTTGTATAATGTGCACACGATATTTTTACATTTCGGGGTTATCAGCGCGCTTCCATGTGAAATAGCATTCGTATCAGCGTTCTAAATGCAAATGGCTTTTCTCAGTTATGACTTATTATGGAGAAGGGAGCTAGGAATTCGCGTAGAGATGCAAAGGAAAATCAGTGGGTAAAGTTTCTCCCGAAGAATATAGGTATATCATATGTTACTGTTTGTGCTTTTATATCTCTCGATGGCATAATATGAAATTCGCGGGTGAAAGAGTTTAAGCTCTCTTTTATATAAATCTCACAATTTAGTGTACAGATATAGTGGCGTTAGATTAGAAGTAGTTTTCTAACGTGTTTGTAACGATAACGTTGTTATTATAAACATGAGCTTCTGTACAATGTTAGTTGTTACATACATGTTTTTCGTCTATTTCTACTTCTACCTGGTTTGATTGCCTTCGTAATATTGAAGTTTCTGTCAGTGTTGGGAAGGATGTAGAAACAAACGTTGTAGATTAAAAATTGAATTTATTCGTATAAACGTAAAAAGTTAGTATATAGATTATATAGTGTATTGCACTGACAATAACATAACATGCTGACGGCTATACTGCACCGAACACACTGCGTGCAATGCGATAATTCTATCTTTCTCTTAAAACTGTGCAGTGGATACCAGCATTCTGTTATCAAATTCACCTCCACTTCCTTCTCCCACAGTGGTTGGTAGTGCAATACACGCGAAGAGATACTGGTCACTAGTATAAGGTGTGCGAGAAAACGAAATGGAAGGCATAGTTAGGCACAAAAATGCATAATAATATTAACCCCCAGGTCTGTTAAAATATTTGCCTTTTCCATTGATAAGTCATTAATAGAACAAACGAATGAGCGATTAATCTAATGGTTTAGATCATAAATAAATACATGCGCATATTACATGCGCATATTACATCGCAAATAAATACTGTACATGGAGTTACAGCAGAACACCGTGTAACGTGTCAAATCGTATACAAATATGTTTGAGATAACAATAATACGATAGAAATCATTACAATCTGGATCGCGTGATATATTTTTTATATGCGTTATTGTTTAAAAGATCGACGTATGACAGATAGGATTTAGTTTGTATCAAGAGTAGATAATAACACATGTGTTATTATCTACTCTTGGTTTGTATGGAGATTCACAGCACGTACAGCAAACTGCCTAACGAAACCGTACATGGCAACTGTTCATTTACTTATTCGTCATGCAGGTCATATTCGCCATCCCACATATAGGTCAATTCAATTAAAAATCACATATATATATATTAATAATGTTCGTTGAATAATTTATCAGCACAACTTATACCCTAACGTGGTTTCGCCTGGAGCATAGCAAAAACAACCCCATGCTAACATAGTCCCCCGCTGTATATTTATTAACTCTTATTCTCTTTTACATCCTAATCGGACATCCTGGTCGGAAAATCACGGTTAATCTGGTTCAAGTCCCGCACGCGAGCGAGACTCGAACCCGGGCCCCCGGCGTACTCTCCACCCCCGCGCGCGCTGCTCAACTACTGATGATGTCCTCGCGTATGACGGGAATGCGACGCTTCGGCGTCGTGTTGGGACTCGAATCCTCGGAGGCGGACGAGTGCAGCAGCGCCGAGCCTGCGGCGATCGTCTGCAGACTCGTGACGAACACCTGCACGGCTTCGTCGGCGCTCGTCATCGTCTCGGAGCGATCGAGAGCGTCCATGACCATCTTACCCAGCGTGCGGCGAGACACCAGCTGTGCGGGAAAAGCAAGCGGGAATTACGTTCCGGCAGTACCCTGGGGGGCATACACCCTATGAGCCCTACTAAATGCATGTAAGCAGTAACTAAAGATATGATAAAATACTCAGGAAAAAAATCCACACAAACGTAAGAATGACTGCACGCATATATTAAAAAAACATGAGTTTCATGGCGGCCCAACTGGCCATTAAATTCTTCATTCAGGGAACATGATTATCGCTAACTGTGATTTTTCTTCTGATAGTTAAAGATATGATATGGCCACCATACTTCAGAGCTCTCTGTGTTACAATATTTTAGAGCGACATATGAAGAGCGAATGTTGTTCTCTCTGCTATCTCATCTCAACACCTGACGAGAGCAGAGAAGAGAAAACCTCACGTGTGGTGGTCTTCATCCATCGGGCCATCGATCACCGTTGATTCATTCGTTGATATTACGTGGAAACCAGCTTTACAAACACGTGGACGCACCAGAAAGATAGTTTCGCTACATAACCGCTACTTAATTTAAGGGAAAGACCAAAATTTCCCTTCATAGAGAGGTGTCCGTTCTATGGTATAAATATCGTTTTTTAATGACGTTTATTCAACGCAAATGGGCCAATGTGTGCCGAGTGTTTTATGTTTCGATGTTCCTATTGCAATGTCGCAGGAGAAGGGAATTTAAATAGCTTCAACGTTACCAGTCTCTCTAACTTAATCTCGGCAAAGCAGGGAACCCATGGCGTGATGCTACAAGCAAAGTGAATATTATAGACCGGATTTTGCAAAGCACACGTGCAGTCTGCCCGGCTCTGGTTTGAACGTATAAGAACGTCCGAAGAAAATTATCTTGGCAGTCAACGGCGACCGACATCGGAGCGCCATTTTCATGTACGTTAGCATAAGCAGGGTATCGTGGCGCGATGCTGCGAGGAAAGTGAAGCATGTAGATAAGATTTTACTATGCACACGTGCGGTCGGCCCGCCCGGTGTGTATTCGCATGGTGTGTCCCAGGCTTTATTTAGGACACAACACCGGGCGATTATTATATGAGTCGGTAGATGGCGCGCACAACACTGAAGATGCCGCACGCGCTTACCCACAATGCCCCGCTTTGTTATTATGCTGTGTCGTAAGCTCCTCAGCTTGAAGTTGCAAGGAGTTGTGTACTTTGATCATAGTCATACTCATCTGTTGTTGTCTCTTAAATTAACCTAGGTACCTTGGACATAACCAGACTTATAGCCTAATTCTAAATTTCAAAGTTTGTATGTTATCATCTTGATGTTATATAAGTCTTTCTGATTACGTTTTCAGGTCCCACCGCCACTGGCACTGGCACTGGCACTGGCCAGCGGGCGCTACACTGTACACAATGAATGTACATCGGAAGTAGATAATACTAATAGTAATAGGGAAGGAGTGTGACTTCAATAAACAAGGGAAATTCGTCATTTACTAGCCTTAAAATACCTACGATTTACTACGCGTAACTCAACCAACTTTAGCTCAAATCGTACGCAGTACATTCGCCTAGCATCGTGCGAAATCGTTTTTTCGTATACACCCGCAATCCGGAGATACAGACTAAAACGTACGACACGATTCTCCATTCTGTTGCCAGCAAAACGAATCCATAACCCGCCTAACTTAAAACAATAGGCAGCTACTAACGACTCTTGTGAACTTTTGTGCCCTTTGCGATGCGGTGTGGCTAGCTGGGAGATTGGACATCGACGCAACACTCGGCGAGCTAATCTTTGACCTATTTAGAGCTGGTATGCCCCGCACGGCCACCGCAATCAGCAGCAGCTCCAGCTCCAATCTCCCAGCGAGCCACACCGCATCGCCAAGGGCACAGGAGTGCGCAAGAGTCGTTAGTATAGCTGCCTATTGTTTCAAATTAGGCGGGTTATATGGATGCGTTTTGCTGGCAACAGAAAGGAGAATCATGTCGTACATTTTAGTCTGTATCTCTGGATTGTGGGTGTATACGAGGAAACGATTTCGCACGATGCTAGGCGAATGTACTGTGTACGATTTGAGCTCAAGTTGGTTGAGTTACGCTTAGTAAATCGTAGATATTCTAAGGCTAGTAAATGACGAATTTCTCTTGTTTATTGAAGTCACACTCCTTCCCTATTATCTACTTCTGATGTACATGTACGGCGCTAGAATATAAGAGCTGTAGGGCCTACACAGCAGGGAACAAAATTCAGATTTTGTGCACTGGCCCAGAGGGCTGGTAACAGTAATTTTTACCAGCCCTCACAAATTTGTTTGTAAACATCATGTCATGTTTTCACGCTTGCCATTCTCGATTCCAAATTTGTTAAAAATGTTGATAAGTTATGGCGTGATATCGCTCAGTAAAAAGTAATGTAGGCTATTGCTAGTAAATAATGGTGGGCTAGTGAATAAAATGTAGTACTCGCTAACACGGCTGAAACCATCCCGCTGCGGAGGGCCGTGTTTGCCAATGTTACCCGATGCCCTCACAAATAATGTTCCGGCCATATGCCGGTGGGCCGGTGCTAATTTCACGCCCAGCTACAGGCTACAATACTAAATACATTAAGCCTAGGGACTGATTAATTTGGTGTGCCCGGGTGAGATGTTTTATTCTTCACACAGGTGTTGTAAAATTTGAAATACAGCACCGACATCTACTGCTGGTCAGCGGTGCGTGATGGAAGCCAAGGTAGAGACGACTCCAAGATGTTTGGGCAGTACAAATAAACCACCACCAATTCCACCTGCCGGACTGAAAGCAATATTGGAAGAATGCAGGAGGGTGTATCCCGATCAGCCTAACCCATTGCAAGTAAGTAAGCAAAATCGGAACACAAGCTATCAGTCCATGTCTTTCTATCATGATTCTTGATGTGTATATATATATATATACATTACATTACTAGAGGTGTAACGATACACTAGCCGGACTAGGGTTACGATACAATATGTTTCGCGATGGACAGGCGGAAAGAGTCGGTCAACATAAATCATCGAGTTCTAATGTTATTTTACTGTTATAATATGTTCCTATTGCAATACTTTCATAACACAAACGTATTATGAGTATGTCAAAGCCATGCTCATATATAGTAAACATTGAATCAGTTATTATATATATATTTCTATGGCTGAAACACACAGAAGTTTTGAGCTCCACTCACGTGTGCGCCATATATACATTGCTACAGTATGTGCACTAAGTGCGATATGCACCAGTCAACCAACACTCTTGATTGGTTTGTGGTAACAATTTTGGCAGCAATACCAGCTCGCCAAATATTTTGACCCAGATATCTACGACACCCAAGGATATTTACGTGATACTGAGAGAGGAGTTCATAAAATAAAATAAAAATTCAATTTAAAAGGAATTACATGTGCCTTACTAAATAGGTTAGCTTGCCTTATTCACTGTTTTTTAAAACATTCGTATCATTTGTATCACGAATCATCGGATGTTGCGTATCGGTTAAATCGTATCATGGGCGGCTGTATCGCGATTCGCTGATGTATCGGTAAATCGTTACACCCCTTGTATATTTTGCGTGGCACATGCTTAGTTGCAATCTATCAACTAGCTGTGCAGTTAGGAAATTGAGGCCTCATTCAATAATAAGCCCATTAATTAATCAAGTGTTACGCGAAATTGACTTCTTTGGCATTGTCGCACCTCTGCACCATCGCCGTAGAAACAGGATTACCGGCTCTCTCTCTCTCTCTCTCTCTCTCTCTCTCTCTCTCTCTCTC